CCCCACTAACTGCCCCTGGGTCTCCGAGGATCAATGTGTTGTTGACACATTGACCGATGGAGGATGTAAAACATTTCAAATGAGCGCTCTCTAGCGCAAAGCATACACCTTATACTTAAGGCAACATATTTCTACAGAGTTCATGTAACATGCTAAGTTCGCCAAGGAATTAATGAAAGTTGAAAAAATTAACCTGCATGATCTGCGGCCGACTATACAATATTTCTCGGTAATGCTGAAATCAGTGACGTCTTTTACCTACTTCGGTTGTCCGTGAATTAAATGTTTCAAAATGTACTGTAGATCCCTTTTAAACTCAAGTGAAAAAGAAACCTTGCATAAAAATTTTCAATTTTAAATGAACTTTCTATTTTAGTTCAAAGAAACAAATTTGACCAACTATATACATCCCAAACTGATCTTACCTCACTTTCTCCAGCAAACATACGCCTCAGTCGCTATGAACCAAATGAGAGGGTGAAATATGCTCATCTGCAAACTTTCTATTGTGAGTTAATATTTGTTTAGATCGGACCTTTCCGTGATTATTCACCCCAAATTTATTTGTTCAACCACGCAACGCCTCACAATTGACAAATTAAACCCACGTGACCATAATCAATTATGGTATCAAAAACATATTTCCTCGGAACTCGATGCGAAGCTTCAATTTCATGTTTTTAGCTCATAAGCTAGATGAGTATTTTGATCAATAACGTTGTATTTCAACGTTTCTTTATTCATTCCATTATATTTTGTTTGCAGGCTTAGTTTTGAATATTATTTCTCATCCGAGTCTCTTGTTTATATTTAACACTGAGTGGTATAAATAATACTCACATGTTGTATAAGTGATTTAATACCGATCGGGACAATTACATACATTTACAACAACGCATGGAACAAAACGATTTAATTGAAATACAGTATTATCAAAATGCTGGTCTACCTTAAGCATTTAAGCTGCAAAAAAATAAAAATGCCACTTCACTTAAGGATTGTAGGAAATATTTTGTCTGAAATGTTTTGTCGGCATGTTTGATCGTGATCGATTCCGAGCGCGTGGGTGCAAACCCTGCGGGGCAAAAATTGCAATACAGTACAATACAATACAAATTTTATTAACACTCCTCAGGGGGCTTTTTGGTGTATTATTTGCCACTTAGGGAAG